GCCGCAGAGAACTCAGTGTGGAGAGGGGCCTTCGGACACATGCCTACAGGAGCTATTCTTGGGGTGATATGCAGCTCTCCTTTCTAGCACATATTCCAATACACAGAGACCAGAAACAGTTACTAAGGTTGCATATCAGAGGGATTTTGAACACGTACCTAAGCAAAAGCTGAGGATGTTCTGCAAGCGTGTGAGGGCCTGAAACACGCAGCTCTTCAGCTCATCGGGCAAAACCAAGGGATGGCGGAAAGCTCAGCAGAACCCCAAAGCGACTGAACTTGATGAGAAGAGACGATTGTCTGGTGCTACGTAAGTATCACCCTCAAGGCAGGTAGAACCTGAAGAAAAGCAGGACCTCTCCACTTGTTATGGACAGCCGTGGTTTCTAGGCAAATCTAACACCTGGAAAGAAGCACCTCTGCCATTCTTAATCCAGAAAGCAGGTTGCATCTTAATAAATGCTCTTCTTTCTTCAATGTTCTAAGAGAAAGTGGGCCTTCTCGCCTTTTTTACATGGTTTGGATGGGGCGGACTCCATCTGAACAATTATAGTCCAACAATCAAAACCTTAGAGACCCCATCGGATAAATCCAAGGTTTTTGTAGACAGCTGCTCTGTTCAGGCCAGACTGAATATCCTCAGCTAAAGCCTTTACTATTTGAGGATTTAAACAAGCACCGGCCACAGGCAAATGTAAGCTGCTTTGTAATTCAGTGAAGTGGTCCAAATGTTCTCATCTCTGCTTCTGGAATCCAGATTTCTCAGCTTTAGAAGGATCCTAATTAGCTGAAGCTAATCACATTTATGCAGATCTCCACCTCTGTGTAAGCCTCTTACAGCCTCAGGATGGAAAATAACCTTACATAATCACTAACCTTATCCTACAATGGGCCGCCATCTCATTAGATGCAATTGCCCTATATTGGCGACACGACAGAACCTTGCACCATGCCTGGATGCCAGCTGGGGCTGGAATTATTTGAACAGGTGAAAAGGTGCTTTGGGAAAACAACAGAAAGAACAACCCCCATGATTTTCACCCAGACTTATCCACACAAGTCAAAGTCAGTTTTCTGAGGAACATGATTTAGACCCACTTGCTCCTTGACTCACTCGTAAATCTCTGTCCAAGTTTCTTTCTGTCCTCACCTGCTTGGACCTCCCACTTGCTTTGCCCACAGTCTGTACTGTCCAGGACTCAGCATCACCCAGTGAGTGTCTAGTTGTTACTAGGGTTCTGATCTCCCATAGCCTCTCTGCACAGGTGTTCTGGTCCTAGCCTCCAGCTTAGAGGAATACCTCTAGTTCTACCAAGCTCCAGCATATTCAGTGGGCTATAAGGGCCATAGACTAAGAGACCAAAGTTTACAAAAGTATGTTCTATTTCATTAGGAGTATTATAAGGCATTTTTGGCATCCACCATTTATTACAAAGGAGAAGTGTATTAGAACCTTTCTTACTTTCATCTAATGGGGCCAAATAGAAAAGAGTCTCATTCTCTAAATAAATTCAAAGATCAGATAGTCGGAGGACTAAAGGGATCTTCAATCCTATTCAGTCCAATCCCAGTCATGGTAGCTCTAAGATGGCCCCAGACCTCACATCTCCCATTGTGCTAGGGTTGGTCCATTCGACCAATAGAAGTGGCAGAAGTAATGGTGAGTCACCTCTGGGATGATAGTGTAAAAGATGCTGTGCTTCCATCTTCCACTTCCTCTCTCTCTCTCTCTCTCTTTCTCTCTCAGATTGCTCACTCTACAGGAAGCCAGTCGCCAAGTCCTGAACAGCCCCACAGAGAAACCACATGGTAACAACCGAGGCCTCCTGCCAATAGCCATGCCAGTGATCTCCCAGCCCCATCGGGTCTTCAGATGATTGAAGCCCCAGCCAACAGACTGGCTGCAACCTCACAAGAAACTACGAGCCAGAAGCACCCAGCTAAGCCATTCCCAGAACGCTGACCCTCAGAAATTGTGTGAGGTACTGACCTAGACAGCATACAGGAGTGTCCCGTTTGGGAAGGGGGGTGTTGGGTGGGGGGAGTCATCATTTTTTCACAAGTTCTGGAGCTGTTAAATTTGAAAAACAAACCCTACGAGGTGAATCCCCATGGTGTGATGGAAGAAAATACATTTTCTGCATATTATGACATTATCTAAATGTTTAAACACATGGAGTAGAGAAAGTAACAAGAGATCTACACCTCTTATTCTGATCTTGGGTGTAGAGCCCATGCATACCTTATTCACTTTCACAGTCCCCGTAGCTCCTGACAGAGCTCCTTGTAATGGCAGGTGTGCAAGAAACGTGATGAATGGGTTAATGAGCCCATGCACTTGAGGGTGAGGGAATATTTTTCTTGTTGAAGCCCTGCCCTGTTACTCTCAAAACTATAATACTGATGATTTAATGCATGATTCAAAAGGTAAATACCAAAGGTCTATGAAGGAAAAAATACTTTCCCTCTGAAAATGTCACAAAAAAGTCATCATCCCACTTGCTACCTGGAGAGGTAACTGTGCTACATTCTACCTCATCTCAGGTGCAGCACCAACGTGTACCTGCTCTGACACTGAGATATATAAACATCCCCTTTCCTGCCAATTTGTAACCAAGGGCTAACAATGAATGTTTGAGGATCACAAGTTTTATTCAAATTCTGTCCCAAACCAATATCCTATTTCTTCCTCCATGAGTGAAAACACATGAAATGTGAATTGTAAGATGGTAACATGACCTGTTTCACTGTGGCCAATTTCAACCCATTTAACCTCCTTAAGAGAAAAAAAGAGTAACAAGAACATGTATTTCTGGGCACTACTGTTTTCTATAATGACTACTAATTTGAACTCCAGAGCCTCCATCTTTAATTAGCAATGTCTAAATAATATGTTGGAACCTTACTATGTATTACCTATTTTGAAACAACTAAATATTGTGCTACTTGTTGCACAAAACAAGCTTTCCAGACTCAATCTCAATCAGCATTTCACAGTCTTTTTTTCTCTAATGTTCCCTGTTTAAAAGTGGATAATCCCAGTTTCCTTCCAGAAATGTGTATTTGAATGATCTATGGGCTGCTCCTTAATATTATGACTTTTCTTGTCTTTGAGTCCCTTGTGGTTACATGTCACCAACCTTTGCTCTGTCTCTGAAACCCACTGAGTCAATGGCATGAGTATCACTTTTGATAAGTCGCTGGGGAAAAAATTTACAAGAAGGTAATGCATTTGTTGCTTAAATTAGGAAACCATCAGATAATATATATGTCTGATATGACAGCTGAGAAATGAAAAAATAGTACTTCCACAAAGAGAGTCAGAAATTGACAGGAAGAATACATCTCGTTACTATTTTCACAAGGTAAAATATCCTATACTTTTGGATCTATTATCAATTAGTTGTGTTATTTTGGAAAAATCACTTCACATCTCTAAAGACCATATTCCTCATTTTTGCAGTGAAGAGATTTGACTAGATAAACTGTCCAATTCATTTCCTCTCTAATTCATGTGTGATTCAAACAGTACCTTGTGGAGGGGTCTGAAAGCTGACAACAAACGATTAATAATCTCTCTCTTGTCCTTTTATAGACAAAAAAACCCAGTGAATCCCTTTTCTTCTATCTTTGTAGTGCTCCCCACCTTGTACCCTGCCATTTCCATAAGATCTGCCTCATTGGTTTAGAAATGAGCTTGGCACACCGCGACATTATTAATATCCTAACAGTTCTCTGTGGATTAGCACAGCACACTGACAAAGCATACGTGGGGCTGCTCCAAGGCATCCCATCAAAAATCCTATTTATGCAAATTTGCAAACTGCAGATTGACAAGATAGTTTATCTAAAAGATTCCTTATTCATGTCTAGGAGCACCCGGCTGACAGGATGCGTTGTTGGAGTTCCACTGGGTGGCCCCAGGCTCCGAGCTGAGGACAGCATTTGTTCCTTCATGAAGCACCGGGCACAGATGAGTAATGAGTGATCTGAAGGGAACCAACGGGGGCCCCGTTCACAGCAACCAGGTCCTGTCAACTAGCCACTAAAACCGTGGGCTGTGCGTCACTCCCAGCACTACTCAAAATGGACGAGTCTCCCGGCCCTGCTTCCTCTGGAGTCTTCAGATTCGGGGTGATTGTAAGAACACGATGCCACACTCTGCTGTACGCAACCTGCTACAGGTACCATATCACCACTCAATTGAGAATATATTTTACATAAAAACGTACCTGTGAAGATGATGTTGGGAATGGTGTGATGGGTGACATACTAAGGATGAGACAGAAAATGTCATCCATCAGTTGGAAAGTTCAGGGAATCAGGGATTCTCAGAGTGGGAAAAACCTCTCTTCCTGAGCTGCTGATCAAATCCAGATTCAAGTAGTGCACACAAGAATTTATGGCCCAGAGTCTTCGGGCCACAACACAGGATAAGCTCTCAAGAAAGTGTGATGAACTGCAGGTTTAGGAAGCAGAGCCTTAGAGAATCAGAAGCATGAGTTCCCAAGATGTCATTTGACTTGCCAAAACCGTTAATCCAGAAGCAGAGGTAAAACTGCAATAAAGGTCTCCTGATTCCCAAACAAGTTGCTCTTCTGACTATTTTCCAGCAAACAAAGCAAACTCAAGGTCATGCAGACCATCTACTGTTTTCTAGATATTCTACAATACATTTCAAGATCTAGAAAATCCAGCAAAATATGGTACCAACGTCAAATTTGCACACTTGTGGAATCACTTACTAAGTTGCATTTTCTTTTTATGATATCAGCTTACACTGATTATCTTTAAAATAAATAACTGTGAAAATTATTGCATTTCTAAGGGTTTCAGTAAGTAAACAAACATCTCTTCCCCATGTGAGAGCTGAGCCAATCGAGAAATAGAAAATAAGCAAACAGGCAGAAATCCAACATACTATTTTTTGACTGATAAACAAATATTAAAGAATTTTCAGTCAGTGGGATTACTCGGATTTATTCACAGATCCAGTCATAGGCAGTAGCGGGCTGGCATCATTTCCCATTATTTTTGATGGCTGTAGGGATTCCCCTGTAATAGGTGATAACTCAGAGTAGAGGGAAGTCTGTATCCCAGCAGACACCTTACTCCCAAGGAGAGGGTGAAGCCACTGTACTCTTCATGCCAAGGTTTGCTTTGCACCAGCTCACAAAGGGAATGAGAGGATGGAGAGAGGCCAGACGTGCTTCTATAATGAAGCATTCTCCACTTGGAGGGAAACATCACGAGTGGGGGACAAGCATCCCCCAGTAATAAAACTCAGTAACTACCATAAAGACATTACTGAGGACTTTGTATGTTGTGTTACATAGAGTGTAATTCTTTACCACGCTCTCTGAATTCTCACCTGACATTAGCCCCAGAGCAGTTCCAATTCTAAGTATAGAATACATACAAATAATCTTGGCCACATGCACTACCAGAATGCCTTAGGACTCAATCAGAGAATACATGCAGGCCTTAGTAACACATGTTTAACGTGATCCTTGTCTGCAGTTTGTTCTCATCATCCTTCCCTCCCTCCTCCTCCTTCCTCTTCGTGTTGTAATCGAGTCCTTAATATTGTCACATATCATCCACCCTTGAAAGCCACTTGAAATGCTTTTAGTAAAAAGACAAGGTACAAAATAAATAAATATTGGATTTGCCTCAAAAAGCAGCTCTACCCTGACAAATGATTCAACAAAAGAGCATTTTCTACATACCATAAGATGAATTTCACCTTAGGAGTGCTGATTTTCTGTCAAAATCAAAGCAAAACACTGAACTTTTCTTTCCTTATTGGAATCATCATTCCACAAAAGCAATCACTCTCTCTCTCTCTCCATTCCCAAGGTGCATAAGTTTTAAATATATTTCTCCAGCTCAGATATCTATTGGGGTACCCAATACCTACAAGGCTTTTGCACCTGGCATCTCAAAGACAGCACCTCCTCAACTGAAGTGACAGCCTTTCTTACAAGCATCTCCCTGTAAAATTCCCTTTTCAATGATCACGGAAGTACCCGGTCGTGCACCACCCAAAAAATGTGGGCATCATTCCAGAATCTTCATGATCCCCACCTCTAAATGCCATAAATAAGCATAAGTAAACATGGTTTTATCAACATAACCTGGGACTATAGAATGCTTCCCCAGCCCCAAACCTCAACACCACATTACTAAAGACCTATTTACCCTGTGCATCATATCCAGCTATGAAGGAAAAATTACAAGACAGAAAATACAGTTGGAAGAGACAGAGAAAGTATCAGAACCAGGCATGACAAAGATAAAGGAATTATCAGATACGGAATTCCAAACAACTGTCATCAACATGCCAAGGACTCTAATGGAATATAAACACAGAGATGGAAACCCTAAGACAGAGCCCAAAAGAAATGCTAGAGGTGAAAACACTGTCACAGAAATAAAACATGCCTTTCATGGGCTTATTAGCAGACTGGACACAGTGGAGGAAAGAATCTCTGAGCTAGATGATATATCAAGAGAATCCTCGAAAACTGAAGAGTAAAGAGAGCAAAGACTGAAAAAAATAATACAGAATATCCAAGGACTGCGGGATGACTAAAAACTATGCAACATATGCATAATGGGAATAGCATGAGAAGAAAGAGAGAAAGGAACAGAAAAAAATATTTGAAACAGTAGTGACTGAGAAGTTCCCCAAAATTAATGTCAGATACCACACCACAGAGCCAGGAAGCTCAGAGAACACCAAGCAGAACGAATGTCCCAAAAAAATCTACCTAGGCATATTATATTCAAAGTACAGAAAATCAAAGGTAAAGAAAAAAAATACTGAAAGAAGCCAGAGGGGATAAAAACCAATTTACCTAAAGGGGAAAAAAGATAAGAATTATATCAACTTTTCACAGAAACCATGCAAGCTAGGAGTGGAGTGAAATATTTAAAGTGCTAAGAGAAAAAAATCACCAGCCTAAAATTCTGTACCCTTCAAAATTATCCTTCAAAAGTGAAAGAAAAGGACTTCCCTGGTGGTGCAGTGGTTAAGAAGCTACCTGCCTATGCAGGGGACAGGGGTTCAATCCCTGCTCCAGGAAGATCCCACATGCCATGGAGCAACTATGCCCACGTGCCACAACTACCGAGCCTCTGTGCCTAGAACCCATGCTCTGCAGCAAGAGAAGCCACCGCAATGAGAAGCCCACGCACCACAACGAAAAGTAGCTCCCGCTCACTGCAACTAGAGAAAGCCCACACGCAGCAACGAAGACCCAATGCAGCCATAAATAAATAAATAAATAAAAAATTTTTAAAAGTGAAGGAGAAATGAAGACTTTCTCAGAGACAGAAACTGAAAGGATGTTAAAATAAGTTCTTTAAAGAGAGGGAATATAATACAGCTTAGAAACTCTGATCTACATAAAGAGAGGAAGAATATCAATGAAGGAGTAAATGGGGGTAAAATAAAATTTTTATTTTTCTTATTAATTGATCTAACCAATAACAATTTGTTCAAAATAATAACACTGTATTCCATTATGTATGCTTATGTATATATCTTATGAATAATTGAAATGAATGAAAGGAATGATACAAGGGACAGTACAGAGAAATTACAATTATTTTGTTATTATAAGATACTCAAAATAACAAAAAGAATTAAAAAGAAAAAAGAAAAAAATAAGATACTCACATTACCTGTAGGGCCATATAGTTTTATTTGCAAGTGAACTTGAATTAGTTGTAAATGTATTTTACCAACACTAGAGTAACCACTAAAAATAAATAAATAAATAAAAGTATAACAGATATGCTAAGGAGAGAAAATGGAACCATATATAAAATGTTTATTAAAACCTCAAAAGGCATAAAAAGTGGAAAACCAAAATAGGAACAAATAACAAGACAACAAATAGAAAACAGTAACAAGTGTGGTAGATATTAATTCAACTATATCAGTAATCAACTTAACATCAAATACCTAAAAGTACCAATTAAAAGATTATCTGAATGAATCAAAAAATAAAACCCAAATATATGTTGCCTATGAAAATAATATAATTAAATATTAGACGTATATAGATTAAAAGTAAATGGTTGAAAAAAATTGTACCATGATAACACTGATCCAAGGGAAGCAGGAGTAGCTATATTAATTTCAGACAGAGCAGACTTCAAAGCAAGGAAATTTATCAGGAACAAGGAAGCACATTACACAATGATAAAGGGATCGATTTTCCCAGAAGACATAACAATAAACACTTTTAAGAAAATAAACAGAGAAGCTGGGAGAAAATATTTCCAAAGCATGTATCCAACAAAGAACTTACAACCAAAATATTTTTGTCTTTCAATTCTGTAATAAAAAATTTAAAAACCCAGTTAAAAAGATAAGCTAGGGCTTCCCTGGTGGTGCAGTGGTTGACAGTCTGCCTGCCGATGCAGGGGACACGGGTTCGTGCCCTGGTCTGGGAAGATTCCACATGCTGCGGAGCAGCTAGGCCCATGAGCCATGGCCGCTGAGCCTGCGCGTCTGGAGCCTGTGCTCCACAACGGGAGAGGCCACAATAGTGAGAGGCCCACGTACCGCAAAAAAAAAAAAAAAGATAAGCTAAAGATTTGAACAGACACTTCACCAAAGAAGAGCTATATAAAGACAGCAAATAGCACATGAAAAGATGCTCAACATCGTTAGCTATTATGTAAATCTAACTTAAAACTACAATTTAACACTACTATAAACTTGCAAGAATGACTCAAATTTTTAAAACAATGCAGAGAGTTAAGATGTGGAGCAATAGGAAAATTGATCCACTCCTTCCAAGAATGCAATATGGTACAGTCACTTTGGAAAACAATGTCAATCTTGGGTATTTAACAGGTGTCTGCACAAAGAATGTTCACAAGAGCTTTATTTGAATTAACCAAAAATCAAAACAACTCAAATGTCCATCAAGTGAATGTATAAACAAATTGTGGCACGTTGCTACCATGGAATACAATTTAGGAATAAAAAGGAATGAACTGTTACTACAAGGTATATCGTGAATAAACCTCTAATTTATAGTGATGAGTAAAAGAATGCAGACATAAAAGTGTACATACTATATAACTCCATGTACTTAAAACTCTAGAAAAGAAAAACCTGTAGAGACAGAAAACAGATGAGTGGCTGCCTGGGGTCACTGCTGGGGAGTTGCCTGGGAAGAGGCACAGGGACTATTTTGTTGTGACAGAAATGCTCTACCTACTGATTGCATTGGTAGATACACAGGTGTATCAATTTGTCAACCTCATCAAAAGATGCACTGAAAATGGGTGCTTTTATTGTAAGAAAATTATACATTAATAACGTTAATTTTAAAAACCATACATGAGGGTGACTTCTGGTTTGGTAGCATAAGCAAGGACCCACTCTCTTGTGAAATGAGCATGATTGGTGAAACTTTTCTTTAAAAAAAAAATTTTAAGTCTCTAGAAATTGTCCTAAGTGTATATAGCAAACAAATAAACATTTGGTCAAGAAAATCTATGAAATCTAAATAAGAATAGAAACAGTCTGTAGTATTTGAGCCATGATCCCTTCCTTCCCTCCTCTTTCCTTCACCCATAGTGACAGAAGCACCACATGTATGGGGACAGAAGAGGACACACAGCTTCCTCTCCCCCCAGCTCCCAGTGGTTGGCTATGGTATCTCCCCAGGAGGGGAAAGCTACCAGTGTTTTTTCACCAAAGCCCCAGGTCCATGTTGTAGAGGCCTTTCTTCCAGACAATGGCAACAGAGGGATCTGAGACTCTTTTATCTACCCAATTCTCACTCATAACGCAGAAGCTCGGCCTTAAGCACGGCAGGTGGAGAATACCAGGGCCCCAGTTGCTCTCCCCCGAGCCCAGCACCATGCTTGTGAAGCAGGGTGTTTCAGAGAAGTGTGGTACTGTGCTTGGCCCAGCTCCAGAGCAGTCGTACAGAGATTGTTGTCCAGAGGAAGAGGAAAGGCATAATTACAGATAGCGCCCAAAGCTCTCCCCAGTTGAACTAACTTTATTTGGAACAAAACATGGGGAAATTCAATCCTAAAGGTGTTCTTGAAAACAATGGAGATTGTGGTGGTAAGCAAACAAGATATGAAGGTACTGAGTCAAAATTCTTATGTGCAGTAAGAACAGCTCAGGGTGAGGAGAGCTTTGTAGCTGGTGAAAGTTGCAGCTGCTTGAGTCAGCACACGTGATAGAAAATTCTTTTGGAGAGCTCCTAAAACACTTTCATAAGATAGGGAGCGTTTGTCCTCATGATCAGGTCAATTTTCAGTTCAAGTAATTCTATTCTGTGGCCCTAATATTCTTGATGCCATTTCAATTTTAGCATTCACCCTTGGCATCTTCCGCTTGAGGAAAAGTCTTAACAGACAGCTGTGTCACACCGCCGACATCAACTGGCTTTCACACTCCCTACCTTGACATGGCGACCTTTGTAACTGCAGCTGACGAACAATGACAGTTTAGTCAAGACACATCATCTTCTTTTTCTTCAAGTCATACACATGGGAAATATTAATAATTGCCCCATAAAAGTTCATTTCTGTCTTATTCCTAAACCTAAACAATTTCCTGTGCCTTTATCTTTCAGTGTTACTGTATTAGTGTGCATTTAATGTTTATGTTATTATAGCAGATGAGACAATGGTGTGGAAAAAAATTAATTAATAGAGATTTCAGCTTGGCTTCAAGTTTCCTTAAATCTTAATTCATATAGGCATTTCATTTTTCTAAACTGAACATTCTGCAGAGATAAATGAACACTGATCGCATTACCTAGAAGCTGGTTATCTTGATGAAAGATCTCAGGGAATCACAGCTGTAAGCAAATGTGACCCTTGGACATCTTACATGTAGACAGGTTTTGGAAGAGAGGGGCTGCAGTGTGTTAGCACAGCTGCTTCTCCGATAGGAATGCTGACAGTGCTGCTGTGATTATTTTTTGTTTAAATTCTGCATCCCATTAGTTCGGATACGAAAGGCTGAACATTTGATTCTAATGTATTCACATTTCTCCCATCAGGAAAAGTCTCAGTCTGGTTCAGCAGTGCTAGAATCCAACACCACTCAGTCAAAATTATCTGAAACCTAAACCCTTATCATGTCTTGTCATATATTTTAAGAACACAGTCAAGTTTGTTATGTCAAGTGATACATGATCAACAAACAGTAAATGTAATAAGAATGAGGATATCGTTCAAAATAAAAGCTATTTGGGCACCTGTGTCTGGCAGGCTATTAAAGTAGAAAATAGATGCTTGGGTTGTTTTCCTGACACTGGATAAACATTCCAATGGGCAATGATAAATTGGAAGGTGAGAAAAAAGTGTCTTATCTCTTACATAGACAAAAAAGGACTTGACAACTATTTTTACATTCTCTGTATGTGTCCAGATAAAGAGTGCATGACTGGTTTCCCTTGGAATCTTACACTGAGTGTTTTTGCCTCAATCTGAATGAATATTTGTTCAGAGTCTAGATACCACAGATAAACACCATAGAAATAGATGAATACAGAAGATAGTAGAGTTGGCAAGAGTGGGGTCATTTTAGAAGAACCTGGGGGAGGATTGGGACAAAAAGAGAGCATATTCGTATGTTCTTATGCATTCTTATTTTAAATGGCCCAGACTGGTAAAATTTTTAACTACATCAGCATGGGAATTAACTCGAGTGGTCAATTCCTGTCAATACTGAAAACCTTTATCTGTCACCTGGTAGATGAGAATTCAATGTGAGATGAAACATGAAAGTTAAAGTAAGCAACGTATGGAACATTAAAGTTAACGATCATTTTACTCATTAGAGTGCAGATAATGAACAAAGCAGTGTAATTAAAATTATTTATCAAACTGAACACAGAAAGCAAAATACCTATTTACTGGGTGATAATATTTTCATCGGTTACCAATCTAAGTATTTGTTCTCTCCTTTGTCTAGAAAACAGTAAAAATAATATAACTAGCGTTAAGTTTCTTCATCTGTAAAATGAGAATAACGATATTGCAGGACATTGTCGTGAAG